CACAGTCCTATTCTCCAAAGCCCCCAGCCTCCCACCCAAATCCCGCCTGGCTTTACAGATACCGCACCTCTGGGTGCTGCTCCTGGGCGGGGTGCCCACGAAAGCTCATGATACTGTCTATATTCTTGTTAGTCTCTAAGGTGCTGTAGGGCCGTCTGTTGTTTAATGTGGAGTTTTTTTGCCATAATTTACTGGCATCTTTAAAAGAAAACTTCCTGCTACAGTGTCCTCCCACCCAAATCCCGCCTGGCTTTACAGATACCGCACCTCTGGGTGCTGCTCCTGGGCGGGGTGCCCACGAAAGCTCATGATACTGTCTATATTCTTGTTAGTCTCTAAGGTGCTGTAGGGCCGTCTGTTGTTTAATGTGGAGTTTTTTTGCCATAATTTACTGGCATCTTTAAAAGAAAACTTCCTGCTACAGTGTGAAGAATATGAGTCCCCTTTCCAGCTCCCCTGGAAGAGGGTTCTCTTTCCTTCAAGCTGTTCCTTAGGACAAGGCTACAAGACTGTGCGATTAACACCCTTGCACTATAGTAGGCAATGCTTTTTTTTTTTGTGGTGTGGGTTTAAAAAAAAAAGTGCTGGTACTCCAGGGGAAAAGTTGTTGAGCTCTGATTGGAGGTGCCTGTGCTGTGTACCAGGTAGTACCATCACAAAAAAAAGCACTGATAGTAGGATATAGTATATGTTGGCTAGGCTGTTTGAGTCTGAGTTACACTCTCTTGTTTGTGGTTGTGGCTCTTCCAAGCTGGAAGCTTCAGGAAGTAAAGCTTTTCCATCAAGAACCAGAAAAGGTAATGGATAGCTAGTTTAATTAATCCTGTCTAGGGATACCAGGCCCTTAAAATCACACTAATCAGAGACACTCCCAGCACCTAGACACAATAAGGTGTGTTAAAGAGGTTGTGAGCCTTTGAGTGTCTTGGTGCTGGTGGGGTGGACTATAATGTTTTCTAAATATAACTGCTGAGGGGAAAAAAAATCAAACCTGTAAGGTGAAGCAATTCAGCATCACTACTGATTGGTTAAAAAGATTAAAGATGTGGATAGGTAAAAATATTTTTCGGAGTTAAATATTGACTACTATTTTAAGATGGCCTAAATGTCCCAAACTCATGCAATATACTCTTGATAACAGTTTGGTATGAACACTGCCTGCTTTGGGCAGGGAGCTGGATTTGATGACCTCCCGAGGTCCATGATCCTCATCAAAATGAAATCCCATGCCTTAACACACACAACTGATGGTAAAAGGGGAATAAGTCTGGCTCCATAATATTTTGTACTGAAAGAGAACTCACTGTATTCCCAGTTCCACTGGAAATGTTGAGTCATGTGCTTAACTCTGTGTTGGGGCCAAGAAGGATAGTCTGTATCAGGTAGTAGTGACCTTGGCTTTGAGGAATGTCCTTATGTTTAATAAATTTCTTATTCATGTTACTGACATTTTTTAGATTTTAAAACTGTAACTTGGTAATGACTGAATTGAAAAGGAAAAAGTAAGCAATATGTTGGTGTTGTTTTCAGCTTCTTTCACAGTAACACAGAAATATTCCTGATACTCCCAGAATGAGCAAAACTTAGTTGTCTAGTTGAGGGTGATTCTAAATTTCCAGCTAAACTGTATTGGAAACCTTGTTTAAAGAAGGCAACATAGAACTGATAATGGGGGATTTCTGTGGGAGTGAGGGCCCTTACTATGGGTTTCATTATGATAGCTATTGAACGTATATGAATGTGATCAAACACATATCCATCCATGTTTACTTCCTGGTTTGGAAGTACTGAGCTAGAGCAAAGAGAGAAACAAAATTCTCGAGCTGTGATCCAGAGTATTTTCAGGTTTTGAGTGGAGAGTAGGTTGATCACTTGGTACAGGTCTGTGTTTTCAGTTGCAGAATTGTATTAAGATAGATGAAATGGTTACTTTGTTAATGTTAAATGTCCACATAAATAAGTGCTGTATTTGTTATGGGATGTAGTCTGCATAATTGTGAACAGGAAGTTCATTAAATCCTTTGACAAAAGTGGACCACAAAATTAGAAATCTTCTGCTAAACTGTGTGGGGCGGGGTTGGGGGGATTGACTAGAAAGGTGAATTTAATGTTCTGCAGCAAGTTGAAATGTCATTAACATCATGTGTATACATATCAGAAATCTAAACTTTTTAAAATGTTTCACTTCCTTAATATCATTTAATTGTAATGAGGTCTGGAACATAGTAGGTTAACCCCTGGATTTCTGGAGATAATTAAATGCTTCACTTCCTTAACGTCATTTAATTGTAATGAGGTCTGGAACATAGTAGGTTAACCCCTGGATTTCTGGAGATAATGAACTACAGGTCGAACCTCCCTTACCCAGCACCCTCAAGAGCTGAGTGGTCCCAAACCACTGAGTTTGCCAGACAATAGGAGGTCAAGGCTCCCAACCCAGCTGTAGGCTCTGCTTCTGGCTGGGGCTGCACTCCCTGCCAATGTCGCCAGCCCTGACGGAGGCTGTGTCTCCTGCCATCCCAGCCCTGGACAGACTGGCCTATTGCCTACAGCCCTGGCTAGGGCTGCTGTCCCCACTGTTAGCCCTGCCTGGGGCTGCATCCCCCCACACCACAGCAGCCCTGCCTAGGGCTGTTTTTCCCACTGCGCCAGCCCCAGGCAGGACTGCGCTCCCCACCTCAGCAGCCTTGGCGGGATGGTATTCCTGGCCACTGGCCCTGCTGCCCCAACCCCGGTTGGGGCTGCACTACATGCTATCAGCCCTTGCCAGGATTGTGCTCCCCACTGTGCCAGCCCTGCTGGGGATACGCTTCCCACAGTCAGCCCAGCCCAGCCTGGCTGCATTGCTGAACCTGGCAAGCTAGGGGTCTCTGGTCCCAGCAATAGCCGTGGTCCTGCCAGACCACAGATGATGTCAAACTAGAGAGTCCCAGATTTTAGAGGTTCAAACTGTAGCTGGAACCCTGTCATTGAAAAAGTACAGGTTGAACCTCCCTGGTCCAGCACCCTCGGGACCTGACCCGTCCCAAATGAGGGAATTTGTTGGATAAGGAGAGGTCCACTGCCACCCGCCTCCCAGGACACTGTCCCTCCCTCCAGCTGCTCCATTCTAGCCCTGCTGCTACAGGGCTTGGGCTTGGCTCTGTCCCACTTCTGTCAGCTGGCTGGGGCTCTCAGCTGGAGCTCCTCAGCCGCTGCTGCCCTGTTTCTTTTGGGGTCGGGGACTCCATGGTTACCCTGTGCCTGGTGGGGACTCCTTGGCTGCCCCACTGTGCCATGCCCAGCTGAGGCTTCTCAGGATGGGGCTCACCAGTCCCAATAGTGCGGCTCCCTGCCACTGCACTCCCAACTGGCTCTCACTCCCAGGCGCTGGGGCTCTCTAGTCCAGCAACATCAGTGATCCTGCCAGACCATTGATGATGTTGGACCAGGGAGTCCTGGATTTAAGAGGTTCAACCTGTATTATGTATTGCTAAATGTTACAGTAAGGATAATATTGTAACTTCAAGGCATAGCTTCTTAATATGGAAACAATACATCTAAAACATGTTGAAAACCTGCTGCAATCTGCATCTTGTTATAGTAGTTATTAGCAATTTTATTTCATATACTGGAGCAGTATAATCATTAATTTTGGGTCTGAATAACTGCCTAAATCATCACTGAAAGAACAAAACTTGGCTTCTAATCGAAGTTTAAGAATAAAGGGGAAAAATTGGCAGCAGATGCTACAAGTAAGATTTCTCTCTCTAGATTCTCTTGGTTCAGAAACACCTTCATGTATGCATTTAAAAACAAGTTTTTGTAGTGCGTGAATGACTTTGACATCCACTTTTCTCCTTGTATTTTTTTTCCACATCTTCTGGCTCAACCATAAAAAGATAAGTTCCATGTACATAGCAAAGTAGAATGTTTGACACTGTTGTCATAGTAGATCCTCAAGCTATTAATGGCAAGGTATGTCAACAATTTGTCAGATACTTGTTGAAGTGCTAATCCTCTTGCACCTTCCTTCTGTTTAGGCCAGGGAAAACAGGCTGGCTCTCTTCGTGAAGGATTCTTGTGTGTCTTCCTAAAATCACGTAGTGTGTGGATGAATAATAATGGATCGCTACAGATATTTCATCTTTAACCAGAAAAGCATGGTTGTGCTGGGGCTCTTGCAGATAGCCTGTGCTACGGTGTGTGTCGCCAGTGGTTTGATGGAAGGCACCTTAAGAACAGAGTCAGCGCTGAGTAAAATCAGAGCACCCATCTGGGCTGGAGTGGTAAAGTTGCACATCTTATTTTTCTGCTTGTTTCTGTCTTGGTGGGGGTAACAGTTCAGATATTGGCTCCTTTTGGGAGAAACTTCTGCTGACTCTTCCCAGCATGTCTCCTGAATGCAGTGTTCGTCCACTGCTCTGCAAACAAGAGTGGAGAGGTACTGGGAAAGTATTTGGGGATATTGGGTGGTGAGGAAGAAGACTCGGAGCATGTCTTGTTGATCTAGTCCCTGCCGAATTCAGCTTTTATCATATGATGTGGGGTGATTTAGAAGATGAGGCTGTGAGGAGTTTCCATTTTGAAAGTTGCAAGCAAAAGTATAAAGCTAATGACAGTATTGGAGTTCAGTGTAGTGGTGGGACACACAAGACCTCTTCATTTCATAAGAACGATTCAGTGCCCATGTAACACAGCTGAATTTTTCATTGAGAATGTATGTAGTAAGAGTACAACAGTATCGTAATTTTGGTTTTTAACCCTATGATGGGAGGGCAGCACTGATTTCATTAATAGCGGTGAAAGCTTAATTGCATCAAAGCTTTTATAGTGTTCTGAGCAGCTCAGATTCATAAGGTTTCCAATAAGAAAATATACCGAGTATTCAAAAGTAACCTTCCGTGGCTACAGCATATTATGATTGGCATCATTGCTGTACAGTGGTGATACCTTCTTGGGCTTTTGTTTTTGTGGGGCTGCTTCAGAAGCATAGGTTCTCTATTAACCTGGCAACCTGCTCTGACTAGAAGCAGATGAGCCTGGGCTCATCAGTTAACCTTCACGGTTAAATGCAGGCCAGCCCACTCCCTTCATGTAACAGCTGAAATTTTCAGCTTTTACACAGTTATTTAAAAACATTTTAACATCCATACCCACCAACCCACTAATACATTCTCATGACGGGAGCATATATGAGGTTTCAGGTGGATTGACTGAAGATTGGCAGTTACGGAGGGCATCAAAACTTGTGGTAATGGAGATTTATCTACAGTCTCTCCTTAATATCTTCAGCATATGCTATAGAAGTTAATGGAATTTAAATTTCTATGTAATTTATAAATGTGCTGACACCTGGTGATAAGTTTTCCTATACAGTAGGCTATCTACTAAAGAGAACTGTCACTTTTCCAAAAGCAAATGGCTTTTAATTACCAAGATAATTATGTTCTAGTTACATTTCAGCTAGTGTGAAAAGTGTAACACTGCTGAAATGTGAAATCTGATTCCAAACTTATAAAGCAAGGCTGGAATAATGGCTAGTTTGATACCAACTTTCACTAGGAGACTATATTTCATTTTCTAAAGAAGTGGAGAATGCCATTCCTTGAACTCCAGGATGTGCACCATAAAACCACGAAACTTGAAGTTTCACAATTATTGTGACACAATGTGTGTGCTCTTCGTAAGCTCATTCTTATTAATCAGGGAGCAAATGTCCTAGTTCTGTGAGATAACTATGAATTTAAATAACCTTGTGAGTGCTTATAATTTAAAATGATTCCTTATGGAACATGTTTTTCAGAAACTTGTTATACCCAGTATAGTAGCATAACTTTTTAGCATACTTTCTTTCCAGTTGCCACATCTGTTATTTTTAACATGCAGGTCATGTGTGTTCCTGGAATTCTGGCTTTATTTTCTTCCCAGAAAAAGAATCCAATTCTTGTAAGTTTGTAGATTTTTTTAAAATTATTATTATTATTATTATTATTGAAAGGGGTGGGGTGAAAGAGACATCTTTTGTAAGCAATATTACATTGGTAATAGCTTGGTTCTTTTTCTTGCCTCTTGTTTCTAAATCCTGATGTAAGAGCCTCATTCTGATTTCTGTGTAGCAGTATTGCATTATGTGGAAAAATGAGAATCTCTCAGCATTTACGGATTAGTTACTTTAGAATATATGATTTTTCTTATTTATGACTTGTTTTAGATACCTTCAAGCTCTGATTTTTTTAGCTGTTGCTTTTGAATGTACTTGAGAAATATTTTCAGAAATGTAATTTGTTTTGTGGAACAATATAGTACAATAGAAATTAAAATGAAACGTGTAAAGAGCCTGCTTTTTGACTTTCTGGCCAGCTAAACTCCAAAAGGATATGTTCTAATTTGTAAGTGAACTACTTAATGAGTGAACTACTAAAAGACTGTTTGGGTTTTACTTAATCTAATTGCTCTAGCAACAAACACATACCTTTGTACTCAAGATGTAATATTATAAGGAATATATAATATAGAGGTGGCTGTGGCTTAGATACTTGTTGAACTTGACCATGGTTTCATAAGTCTTCCTGTTACTGTCCTACGTGAATAACCTATCACTGTGAAGCTTTAGGATCTGCTGTAAATGATTTTCTTTTATGATCCTGATTTTTACCTCAATATTCAAGATAGGAAAGCTAGATCTGATAAAGAGAATCAGACAAGGGTTTCCTGAATTGTGTGTCTATTAAAGGAGGGGGGGGCGGCAAACAGCTGGTAAACATAGCAATGAGTATTGTGGGGAGCTCGTGATGCATTGATGTCTTGGTACAAATTCACTGGGCTTCCATGTGGTTTTAGCTTAGTCTATCTTTCGAACAAGCCTCAATAGAATGCAATCACTGCAGAACTGAGAATGTTTGACATCTGAAGTTACTCACATTTGATTGTTAATACCTTTCAGGTTAATACCTTTCAGAATTAGAATACTCAGAATGACTTATTAATTTTAAAGGAAAATAGACAATGCACTAACTTTTCCTGTCCCTGACCCCATATTTTCCTTGAATTTTTTTCCTTATACAGGTGAATGCAATGATAGTAGCTTCTCTGTTTTCTTGTTTTGCCACCATCATTGTAGTTGTGTATGCTTCCCTAACTTTAAGCTATGGTGAAGAAGATGAAGTGTTCATACATATGCCAGTCCATGTTGTTCATACGGTGAGTGCTAGTATTTTATGACAAAATTGTGCTTCCTTCTATAGGAATGCAATCCAAATTTCACACTTCCTTTCAATATGTGCAAAGCAGGCATACACAAACAGTTCTAAGATCAGTTTATTATTGATGAATGCAGGAAGCTCTGTGGTTCTCTGGAGGATCACAGGATAATCTTCTGCTAGCACTTGCCACTGTCCTAGAGAGAATACAGAACTAGATTGGACTGCTGGCTTGTTCTGATGGGAATTGTTAGAATCCTGGACTCGCATCTTAGGAAGCGTCAATTACAGGAATATCAAGGAATGAGATGGTCAAAATGTTAAGTGCATGGGGTCTTCTTCACAGAGTGATCGTATAGTGGTGAAGATCTGGGTTCTTCCCTGTGGAACACAAATGCTTTGGAGATGTTTTCCATTAGATGGGAATCCTTGGTGGCTGTTTCTGTATGTAGAGTATATAACTGGAGATTTGGTACAGATGAAGTCCTTGATATGAAATTGAGTTTAGGAGAAATGGAACAGGAAGAGTTAAGAGCAAATCTGCCAACATTCTAACTTAATTTGAGCTAAATCCCTTTACCCTCTTGGCCGTAGAATCCATTTGTGCAATTTTTATTGGATCATGGAGACACACAGGCATACAAATCAAGATTGAGGCCCATTGTGCTAAGATATACAGAAAAAAAAAATTAGAATACTTGTCCCAAGTTTAAGAAAATGAATGAATGGGACAGGAAAGATTGACATTAGCTTGAGTTTATAAAAAAAATATTATGGGCTCGTATGTGAACAAATTACAAGATCACTCAGCAATTTCACTAAACTGCAGTAGAGTCTAGGGCTGAATGAAAAGATTGAGTCCCAACTCCATCAAAGCTTGCAATATGACTTAACTTCTCTGCACCTCAGTTTGCATAACTGTTAAAAATGGGAAAAGTATAAAAATATTTACCCATCTCCATTAATGACTTGAGTCATGGATGTAAAGCTCTAGAAGTAAAAGGTCATGTCTTTTGAATTATCAGGCCACTTAAGTACCTATATTTAGGTGCTGATGTTTAGATCATTGCTTCTGCAAATTTTCTGCCACTATCTGGTCTCTTGATACAAAATCTTTTTAGTACCATCATAACCTAGGATGATTGTATTTATGAAAACCATATAAATAGATCCATTTACTACTTACTGCAGGCCAACTTGCTGATGTCATGCTGTGTAGATGTGATGTGTCCCTCTATGGACAAAGATGATTAGGGGGATGGTCCTTCTGTATTTATTTTGCTGACCCTTTTCCTGAATCAGTACAACTATTTCTAAAGCTGTTAGTCAATGCTGGAGTACAGCACTGTTGGGACAAGGTGTTAAATACACTGAAGTTTAACCAATACCTGATGATTTCAAACATAACAATATAATACAAAACTGATAAGAAATTGTTTCCATTGCAGACGGTAGTACAAAGAGACAAATACAGAAGGGAAAGGTGTGTCCTGTGGAAATCAGCAATGTTCATTTTAATCTTAAATGAAACATGCTTAGAAAATATCAATTCTTAAACTATTGTAATCCCTTGTTGACATGTGGAAGTAGTTTTTTACAATGAAAATAGTAAATACACTTCAGAGTATTCAATCGCTAATCAAAATTGGGTTTTTTTGGAAGTTAAATTTACTGCATTGTTTATCCCTCTGATGTTTCTTTTGTTTCTTTTACAGAAGTTTGTGCTTAGTAAGGTTGTCAAAGGAGCCAACATAACAATGCTAATTGCATCTATCTGCAGTGCTACCATTGTGCTGGTTATTGCTTATGTAGGCTGCCGAAGTCTTCCACGTTGTTCGTGTTATGACAATGTAACTGGAATGGTATGGAAGTGCTGACTTTAACTTAGTTTCTAATTATATTGGATCATATGTGGTACATAGGGGGAAAACGTGTGGATTGGAGTAAATGCATTAGGGTATGTCTAACCTACCCTCGGCTTCTGAAAGAAGATATGTAAATTTGGCATGAATTTGCATATCTTCTTCCGATATCTGGCCACATGCAGCAGCTATATGGGGGGGTTTTACGTAACTTTCCCCTCCCCCCCTTTGAAAGAACCCTGTAAACCTTTTTTTAAGGAATAAGAGTTCTTTTGAAAAAGGGAGGGAGGGTTGCATGATAAACCCTGTCTAGACAGGTTTTTTTAAACCCCTTCTGAATAAGGGATCTTTCAGAAGCCGAGGGTAGTCTAGACGTGCCCTTGGTGATTTATGTGATTGGTTTATCTGAGCTCTACATGCTAATCTGCCTCCACCATGGCTAGTTCTAATAATTCAAATTGTCAGTGCCATACCCTTTTTCCTCTTCAAAAATGGAACTGTCAGTTTCCTGCTGCTTTCCCTCCAGTTTTCCCTATGTAATCCACTCCTTTTTCTCCCCCCAAACTCCTGAAAATTACATTGCCCTTGAGACATTGGAGAGTCCTGATCTGATGAAAGGCAGAAGGCCTGATGTCTTCTTGTAAACCCCTGGGCTACGTCTACACTGCAGGCTTTTTGCCCAAGAACAGCTGTTCTTGCGCAAAAACTTGCCGGGTGTCTACACTGCACGTGCGTTCTTGTGCAAGTAAATTTACAGTACAGCGTTGGAAAACAGGGCTTCTTCTGGAAGAGTTATTCCTCTCCCCACGAGGAATAAGCACTCTTGTGCAAGAGCTCTTCCACAAGAAGGCAGTGTAGACAGGCAACATGATTTTCTTGCGCAAGAAACCCCAATGGCTAAAATGTGCAAGAAAGCTCTTATGGCCAAGAGAACATCCACACTGCCATGGATGCTCTTGCGCAAAAGCACATGGCAATGTGGACGCACTCTTGTGGAAGACCTTTTGCACAAGAACTCTTCTGCAAAACAGTTCTTGTGCAAGAAGCCTTCAGTGTAGACGTAGCCCTGGAGATTAAGATGTCTTTATGAACTTGAGCTGACAGAGGAATTCCCTAATGTTCTGAAGTTTCAGATGGGTGGCTATGTTAGTCTGTAATAGAAAACACTTTAAAAAACAATGAATAGTCCTACAGCACCTTAGAGACTAAGCAAAAATGCAGCTGGTATAATGGGCTTTCGTGGGCACAGCCCAATCATCTGAAGAAGTGGGTTGTGCCCATGAAAGCTCACTATATTGCCAACATTTTTGGTTGGTCTCTAAGGTGCTACAGGACTATTGGTGGCTTAAGTTTATTCTAATGTTCTAAGACTACTTTTCCTAGTCCTGAGAGGTCTCAAGGCATCAGATTTCTATTGGTAGATATGGAAAAGCATTTTTGGCGGTTTCTGAAGTGTCTGTAATAGTCACCTCTCTTTTTTTTTTTTTTTTTTTTAAGGGCCTGTACAATTGTATTTGTAAACCACGCTGCTCTTAATTTTATCCATTGGTACATTTAGATGTTATTTTATAAACGCTGCACTTCCTATAAATAAAACCACCATAAGTTAAAAGGATTTTACTATCACTTGTTTGGGATGAACTGCATAAGTTCTGAGTAAGGTGTAATCCCATACTTCTGCCAGTAACACTTCTTGTGCCATAAATACCCCTTTAACCTTATTTGTCTTTGTGCATCCACTCCAGTAAAGCCAGTCAGGTACAAAGACATGATTTTCAGGAAAACTCTCCCTCTTGTGTCAAAGCTGCAAACTTTGAAAATGTTCAACCAGCAAGATCATTGGCCAAGCAGATTTCATTAAGGATCTGAGTTATTCTATTATAAAGATCTCTCCAAATATTTTGACTGCAGTTTTCTAGCTGACTTTCC